GACGACTCGGATGGAGTGCGTGAAAATGAGGAAGCTACGCTATGTAGCATTTAATGCGATCTGACATGCTATTGCCGCTTCGATCGGTGAGTTTCGAACCTCGCCTGTAAAGCCAGGGCTCGCCTGCAGCAATTTAGCTTGCCTGCGATACTAAGTTCGCCTTAACACTTAGCTCACCTAATTTCATTGAGCTCGCCTAAAGAGCTCAACTTAACCAAAGTGATCGAGTTTGCTAGTAAGGTGCCTTACTTTGCCTAAACTAATGAACGATGATAATTTTTTATTCAAAGTATTCCAGACCCCATGCAATTTGATTTGGGTCTGAAAACTTTATAGGGAGTTTTGTAGGCAAATAAAATTGCCTTTATCCTAAATTTCAGGAGTTTGCCTATAGAACTTCGCCTGAGCATCCAAGTTCACAGGAACAAATCTCGTTCTGCTTGTTCACCTACATCAAATAGGCCAAGTCAAGCTCGCCTGAATGCTTGACTTCGCAGGAGAAGCGAAGTTTGCCAAGGCATTGGACTTCGCCTAAAAAGAACTAAGCTCGCCTTGTTGCTTAGTTCGCCAGTTTGCAAGTAAGCTAAGCTCATATGAATGCTTAGCTCGCCAGCTTCGCCTACAGGAGTTAAGCTCGCCAAAATGCTTAATTTATGAAGTTCACCTGCAAGCCCATCAGGCTCGCCAACTTTACTTGCAAGCTCGCCAGACTCGCCTACCTCGCTTGCAAGCTCGCTTGGTTCGCCTGAGCGGTTAAAAACCACTTACTTGAATTGTGGTAGTGGTTACGCCCACTTCCCACATTCTAAGGGGTTGGTTATGATCTTTCTCATCTGTAAATAGCCATATTCGGCCAAAGGAGGGGGGAGGGGGGATCTTGGCTTTTTAGGATCTAGAACTCTTTTGGCAATCAGACTTTTTAGAGATAAAAGAACCGAACATTGCATCTTGTGCATTCGGCTTTAATATTAAAGCTCGGGTGTTCAAACTCTTTTAATCAAGCTTCTACCACGTGTTGAAGTTCATTTGCAATGTCATTCAAATCGTCAAAGGGAAGCAAACTCGACTCAAGCATCGAGGGAGGCATCCTATCGCTTCAAAGAACCCACGTTAAACAAGGAGAGATTAGATTCATTCTCTCTGCTTCTGTGTAAAATCAATTTTGATCTGTAAGAAACAATTTGATTAATACAAATTTTGAGATCCATTTTATGATAAACAGATAGTAACAACAATTACTATTTATAAGGATTATGTCATCGTTCTACTAAGCCATTGACAATTTCTCGCATCTAGAATGATGCCCTCCCCCCATTCCCCATCACTATACAATTAATATACATGCTGATGGAGAGCAGTGCAAGGGTTTTAATCTGGAGGCGAGAAATCATCGATGACTAAGCGAAATAACGTTGAAATCCACAATGAAGAATAATTGTTGTTATTGTTCACGGATGAACAATATTATTATTATTCACCAAATGAACTATACCAAAATAGTGGAATTTGAGGTTATCTTATGTGGTTTTGGGACTATTTATCGGTCAAACAGTGGGACAAATTGCATGTTATGAATCAAGATGTGAAGGGCGTTGGAATTTTTGAAGAGGAGAGATTTGATAATCACTAGGCTTCACACCCAAGGGCTTCACACCCTAAAAAGGCAAATCACATGTCAAAGAATAGCTCACATACTCAAGAGAAAATTCTCTAACTCAATTTTTTTATTTGTCAATGTCTATTTCTCATGGAAGATTACATCTTTTATTTATAAAAAAATAAAGCATCTTGATAGTTAAAGAAGCAAATTAAAATCATCATCAAATCAAAACCTAACAAAATTAAAAGAAGTAATTAAATAAAATCCTAACTAAACTAGAAAGAGATCTCAAAATCAAATCCTAAAGAAATCCTACGTAACATAAAAGATTACATAGAATCAAATCAAATATTACAAAAATTAGAATTATCCTAATAGATCTTAAAATATGTTGATGGATAGTTTATGATTGTTGTGCATCAAATTCTCCCCTTGCTAGAGAAAACTCAACCTCGAGTTTTATAGCGAGGGAGTGAAATGTTTAACTTGATTGACGAGAAGAATTCCATTGTAAATTGCAAGATCTTCAAGATGACATGTAAAACCTTATATTGAGTTGGCGGTGGAGGGTGTGGAATAACGAACTCAATAACTAAATTATCTTGGACTAAGAGTTTGCATCACATATTTTCTTAAGTTTGGATTATAGGCAAGACTTGAGTTCTAGGTTTGATTCAAGCTCAAGCATTAGATCTACCCGCTGCTCTGTTTTTAGTTCAAACTCTTTTTTAGGCTTGGGCTCTGGATCTATCTTCTTATCTGTTTCTTCTTGCTCTGGTTCAGGCTCGCACTATAGATTGATCTTTTAATCTACATCTGATACTAGCTCATATTCAAACTCGGGCTTTAGTTCTTGGTTAATTTTTAATCTTGCTTTACTTTCTCTTTTGACTTAAGTTGAGGCTTTGGATCTACATTGAACTCAAGTTTTGATTGAAGACCTACATCTGGTCGAAGTTGAGGATTTTTTGTTGATTTTATTTCACATTTTGAAGAGAAATAATATATTCTAGATAGTAGACTACAGTACATCCTATCCGAAAGAGCTTTCATAGTTGTCCACGAATAGGGCTGGTAAACGACCGAATCGTAGCGAATAACAACTTATTCAAATTCGTTTGAGGTCCATTTCTACATATTCAAATTCGTGATCATATTCGAGTCGAATACTAAATGACCATTCAAATTTGATTTGACAATATTTATTCATGATCGATAATTATTCCCGAATATTTGTTTAACAACAAATTGTGATTTTCCTTGCATTATTCATTTAATATTCGATATCTATTCGTCAATTATGTGAAATGGATAAATCAATCTCTGATCAAAAATTAAAAAATATTGTAACTTTAAGCCTCAACTTACATTTTGATGAAGGTGTCACAGGTTAGGGAGGTAGATGTGATGTCGGTGGAGTTTCGTCAAGTTTGGGGAGGTAGCAACTGATGGAGACCCCAATGGTGAAGCCGAGGTGACGGAGGTACTGATGAAGATCCTATTTGAAGATGAAGAGTCAAGATTCGAGGAAGGATCAAGAGGGAAGAGACAGAGACCGTCGAAACTCGAGGCTAAGGGGGTAATCAGCAAAGGCCGAGGGAGACTGCGAGAGTGTGAAGGATTGATCGGCGAGAGGGAAGAGAGTGGAGCTTGAGTCCGCCGTCGTAGGGGAAGAAGCCGAAGCTTGAGTGAGAGCTTTTGATCTACCGGAGAGGGGAAGATTTACCGACAAGGGGAAGATTGGTGGAGCTTGAGTGAAGGTTCGGTCGGCGGAGTTTGAGAGAGAGAGAGAGAGAGAGAGAGAGAGAGAGAGAGAGAGAGAGATCTGGAGAGTGGAGGCGGAAAAATAAAACATGAGAGAGAGAGAGAGAGAGAGAGAGAGAGAGAGAGAGAGAGAGAGATCTGGAGAGTGGAGGCGGAAAAATAAAACAAGGCCAAGACCTAGATTCCATGACTCCATCAACTTAAGTATTTATACGGGGTAATAGTTGTAAATAAAATTTTTGATAGATAATATTTGCAATAAGTTTAATTGATAGGACTAAAATGTAAAAAGTTATTGAATAGTTAATAATCAACCGAATCGAACGTACCTTTGGTTAAATTCTATTCATGTATAAGCCGAATACTAAAAATTATTTGTTTAGTATTAAATGAATGATCGAATCGATATTGACTGAATATCTAGACGAATAATAATCGAACTGTTTATTAATTATTCGGTTCACTTCCACCCCTATCCATGAACACATATTCGAATGATAATAATTTCTATACCACCATTTTCTTGCCTCTCTCTTTAGTCTACACTCAACATATAAATACATTTTCAGTTCTTATGTATCATAGATAGAAGCTATATGGCTTCTCATATCCACCAAATCCATAAAGTAGGCTAGGGTATCAAATTTAAGTGGATTAAAATCAAACCCTTATGAAGGAGGTAGCGGTATTTTACTCCTGATAATTGTGGATCCTTAGGCTCTAATTATACCAGTCGATGCAGATCGAGGCAATACACAAAATTTTTTGGCACATGAAAGGGAAAAGAGGGAAAGAAACAAAAAAAGAATATTGAATCAACTACCAGAAACAAAAAAATTTCAACACCTAACTGCTTACTAACTATCCCCATGTTCTAGGTCCAGAATATCAGCACCTGGAATGAAAACATGGATGTCCTAGCTTTTTCGAGCTGTTTTACCAAATGTTTTGATCCCATAAATTCATATTTTTTGTGGAATCGTGCCAGGTCCATCAAAGTTCTTTAATACTTTAACTGTTACATTCAATTTGAGACAACTCAACCGCCACCATAATAATTGAGGATGCAGCTTAAACAACTATGTGACTAGGCTTTTTTTTTTGGCAATGATTAAGAGTATCTGGGCGCAAGTGCATCGTGAGGCTAGAATCAATAATCATAATAATAGAATAAAAATCAGTTCCAACCACTCCACAGTCTAGTTTGATTCTCCAATTAAAATGAAGAATGTGCATCAGAAGAGAAAAGGGTACAATGTCTTTTCCTGTTAAACTTAGCTAATAGTGTTCCAAAAAGGTTTTATATGTAATTGTTAGAAACGCAACAAGAAGCATGTTCATAAGCAAGGCCAATGACTCATTATAACTCTTTGTAGGGTTGCAAAGACGCACAAAACGAGATGGATTAGGCTAATCTATTATAATTCCTATTGAATCCAAGAACCAAGTAACGCATGTTCTCGCTTGATTCCTAACACATACCAGCAAAGTCTTGGAACGACACGAGCCTCTATATGTGAAATGTGTCTTAATTTGTTGATTGGCATTAAAGACATGGCTCTGCACATATCGATCACTTGTACAAATACTAAAAACTATCTCATCATCTGAATCATACCAGTAAACATCAGGATAACTTTCATAACTTCATTAGAGCAAACGGGTACTTTTATTTACTTATATTATTGGGACTAACTAATTCTTGCGCCATGTTATTGGCAGGATTAGGCAGTAATCAATTAATAAATTTACAAGTTGGGTGGAAAAAAAATTTACATGTGAGATTCAGAACATCAACGTAATTTGTTAGAGAATCAAAACTCCTGACGAGCATTGGAAGCAACTGCGATAGCCCAGAACTTGAGCTGCTCCTTCATATCCTCGGTCGATCTCTTATCAACACCTCTGAACATAGGAGGAGCTGACTTCTGCATTATCCATGCTTCTGATAAATATGGCCTCTTTTTTTCCTCGCGTTTGCCAGATTTCTTGTTGCGTAGACCGGGAATAACCTTGACAAATTTCGTATTAAGCTCTTCCTTGTCACAAACAAACCCCAAATCCTTGAAGCCTTGTACCTCCATGTACTCTAGATCATTTTGGCTTTTCCATTTCTTCTCCTTGAATATGTTTCTATAGTAAGCTTCTTTTGCAATGTAATGCTGGATGGCTAAATATCTCTCTGACCTTTCGAGCTTTATGTACCTTGGTGATCGATCTCTGGCGTTCTGCAATAGAAAGAGAAATGATTGAAAGGATTATACGTGCATCATATTGCAAGAAATTAATTAAGAGAGCCCATACATCCAAAATTTTACCTTAGACGAAAAAGATATTGAATGATAATTATCCAATGAGCTCAATGAGTGCCGGAACTTGGGGTTGCAGGTGTTCAAAGACGGTACTTGTTCAACTTGTGCAGTACTGTTGAGTCTTTGAAATCGAGGTGGAAGTGTGGGCATTCTATTTAGTGCAGGAGTCTCCTCCTTAACTTGATCCAGGTTAACATCCTCTTCTTCTTCTTCTTCTTTGCTCTTCTCTTGAGAATTATGAGAATCATTGGCAGGAGGCTTTTGGTTTGTAATCAGTATGTTCCTGAAGAACCAGTACTCATCCAAGATATCCATTACTGAAGCTTTGTGATCAATATATTTGGACGTTGAAGAGCCTTATTGAGTTGTCATCTCTTGGGCTTAATTTTGCTGCTTCAAGCTCTGTCGTCTCTCGGTACTATTATACTTGGATGAGTGCACAGGGAGGCGATTGGCAAGAGAGCGGCAATTAATAGTTTCTCTAACACTCTAACCACACAAATAATTGCAGTGTATAACTAAACACTATTATTCTAAGCTCCGTTATTTGTCTCTAGTTTTAGCATTGTGACCATAGATAATTTAGACTTTGTTTTATTAGTGTGCAAACCAAACACTAAATCTGCTTTATGATGTAGATCAACATTAGCATTAGGCCTTAAGATGCCAAATCTGTCATTGGGAATAATGGGAGATACCCAATAATTATATTATATGTTCCAATAGCACTTAGACGCCTTTATTTATGATATGGGCATCATGTGATGTCAATGTGCCGCAGAGAGATTTCTTAATATCATTGTTTAGTAAAGAGGACCTCTATTCTCTTACAGGCATTGAACATATACATTTCATGACACAATGTCAGATAATGAAAAGATAACTCCAGTTTGACAATAAAGATGTAAGTGGTAATAAAAAAGTTTAGGGAATAGTAAGCTGTCAACCCCTTATCTTACAAAAAATGTCTATGCAATTAAGCCGTTATTTTTTAGCATTATTTTATGGAAAAATTGCTTTTAGGCCCCAAAATCCAACTTTCAATGTGCTCCAGCCCCCCAACTTTCAACAATGTGCTACAACCCGTTTTTTTTAAAATTATGTTCAGGCCCCTCTCCTCAAGTTCCAATACACCCTCTTCAAAAATCCCGATTTTACCCCTCCCCTACACCCTCTCCTCCACCTCCGTTCCTCCTCTTCCCCCGCCCCCGCCTCCCTCCCCCGCTCCGCCTCCCTCCCCCGCTCCGCCGCCATCCTACACCTCCCTCCTCCTCCTCCAGTCCCCCTCACTCCCCCGCTCCGTCGCCGGTGCCGTCCCGAGGAACTTCGCGTGGCCGGCGGCGATCATGGTTATTATATTAACATGTTAACTCTTAAGGTTAACATGTTAACTTTTACGGTTAATATGTTAACTCTTAACAGTTAACATGTTATCTGTAATAGTTAAAATGTTAACAGTAAGAGTTAACATATTAACCCCAAATTATCTCAGTTCCAGTTTTAAGTTCTAGATGACTAACCCCCCCCCCCCTAAGAGTTAACATGTTAGCCCTAAGAGTTAACATGTTAGCCCTAAGAGTTAACATCCGCTGGCATGAGAAAGAGAAGGGTAAAATTAGGATTTAAGTTGGCTGGCATGTCTAATCATGAGCTGGTATGTCTAATCATCTTTTGGCATGAGCTGAAACCATGATAGAGGGGCCTGGACACAATTTTTTCAAAAACAAGGGGCTGCAGCACATTAAAAAAATATGGGGGGCTGGAGCATATTAAAAGTTGGATTTTGGGGCCTAGAAGTAATTTTCCCTTATTTTATATATCTAAGATCTGGAATGGAAAACCCCTATTTTTATTTTGTTTTTATATCTTGATTTCGATAATAAAGATAAAAAGTTCATGGTGAAGATAGGGTTGTGGGTCCTATGAGAATTCAATGAATGTTTGGGCTATGAATGGGAGAGAGTGGATATGGGGTGTTGGGATCAGGACCTGTTTGGTTGCATTATGTAAAAACGAGCAGTAGCTACAGTGACAGGGAAGTGAATGGTCCAGCTGTATCTGATAGTTACAATAAATAAAGCCCATTTCACTGTTTTTTGCTGAGAAAATCTGAGGGGCTGGCAACTCAGTTACAATAACGCCAACACAGCTACAGTAACCATACTTATTTGAGTAAGCCAAACATAGGAGTTGGGTGTAATACTATAACACATTAGATTGTTTGGTTCAAAAGTCATTGTTTTCATTGTCATCGAGTCTATTACAACTTTGGTCGTTACAATCTCAAATAAACGAGAAAAGTCGATCTTTATATAAGATCTCTTTATACAATGAAAAATACAAAAAGTACAACTCTTGTCAAACAGCACAACAAACGTTTATCACCCACTGCTTGCGTGGGAACTTCGCCTGTGTCGGGGACGTTAATATCTGTGGACCGCCACGAATCAGATCCGATCGATAGATTAAGTTGATCAATGCTTTTACTTCAAGAAGAAAGTGATCGCTACAGCGATGATCCTGACCAAGCGAGATCACGACTCTTCTCGAGATTTAAGACTAACCTTAAATCCTAAGGAATAGGGGATGATTCTCAGATCTCTCGAACTCCACTCTTTATGCACAGGAATTCGCCAAGATCTGCTAACCCTTGCTGTAAATTCATGGCTCCACTCTCCAATTCGGCAGCGCTTCGCTCTCTTGATCTCCACCTCTGATGAAATAAGCCCCTGAGCTTGTATTTATAGGCTTCGGTTGGGGGGATTTTGGATAAGAATGATAGATTCAGCCTTATCTTTAGTTAATAACCGTGTAACCATGTTTGTGGATGATATCCAATCAGTTAGGATACTCAGAAATGAACAAATCTGGATAAAACCCGTGAAAACCAAAAAGAACGCGTTTTCAGATCGAAACTGGCCGAACCGTCGTTTGGTGGCTCGGCCTATGGCCGAGCCA